GAGGAACTTTGACAGAAGATCGGGTGACTTGAGTTCGGCTTTGCCTTCCGTAGATACGGGAAGTAGAGGCTTCGAGGGGTCTCCTGTAAGATTAGGACCAAGACGCTCAGCCATGCGAGCTCGCGCAAAGCGTGCCACTGGGAACGTGGCATCGATGAATCCCCACTGGGAAAGTTTAAGGTAGATGGGATTCTTAAGGAAGAGGCGGTCGAGCCACGGGATTTGACCAATCTTGTAGAATGTGTCAGCTTGTTCCATAAGTCCTTTGCCCATGAGATTTTTACACATACCGGTGCTACATAGAGAAATAAGCTGCTGAGGTACTTAACTACCCCATCAATATCCTCGTTCTTCTCAACAAATCCATGACGTTTGCTGTAAGTAATTTCTCCAATCACATCGAAGGCGTAGAATTGCAACCATTGTGTGAAATCGCATCCCTGGGGGTTGCCAGCGAAGAGGTCCTCGGTCTGCTTGAGGAACAGCTTCGTGGTGTTGTCAACAAATGGCTCGTACTGGACGAGGGCAGACATGGCAAACGCCGAGTTGACACATCGTCTAAACTGCGCGTGAAAATCGTTGTCTGTTGTGCTGAAAAGCGAGGCTAAGGAATGTCCCTTGACTACCGACTGTTGGACAATGTAGAAGTCGGACTAAACAGAGGAGGTCAGAGTTGTTTCACCAGAAGAGCTGTATCTGCAGTTCGTACCTTTACAAATCCCTTGTTGAGGCCGTATATCGACTTCAGGGCTTTTGGATCCGCAAACGACAGAGTGTTGGGTCCTAAGCGTACAACATCACCATGCTTATCATGTAATCGCCGATGTGTTATATCAGGTCGTTGGTTGTAGACATCCCAAAACCGCCAGAAATCCGTCAACGAAGCCAAGAAAGGCCCCGGGTATTTGTTCAGACCATTATTGTATCGATTCCGCACCAGCCACCCAAGTATTACTGATACGGTTATAGGTAGCCAGAAGTGAGCTATAAGGCTCCCAACCATAGAGTTCTCAACTCCCAACATTGCCTACCGATTCATCTGCTCTTATATGGTGAGCTAGGAAGTAGACAGGGTATGGTAACCGTAGATTCCCACCTCAAGAGGATAGTAGGATATCTATAATACACCGAGAGGTTGTTGAAACCTTTCGATTTTCCCAGATGTTGAGAGTAACTCGTCAAATAAGAGTTGCACACCCAACACAGGCAATCCAAGACACCCCCAAAGCCTTAGAAACGAATAGCAGGAGAGGCGTGGTAAGCCGAATATTAGGTGCTGCTGACACCGGTGTGCCAAGGTGGGTATATATGCGAAGCTATTTGTCGGCTATCCTATAGACAGGTCGGCGAATTCTGATAATTTTTGGACGAGGGCTAGAGTCCCGGTACCTGCGATTGGCCTGGGTTGGTTTGATGGCGACAGTGAGCGAGGGGAGTTAGGAGTACACTTGTACTTAACGATTGGACACATCATATAAGGACCGCGACGCTTGTGACGGCAATTCGAGGCTTACAAATGACTCGGATCAGCCTTCTGATGCTCCTGGACCCTTGGAAGCATCTCACATACCCGTTTGAGCTTCCCGCCCAGGGACAAGCCAGCCAGGCTACTAACGAACCAAGATTCTGGGGTCCCCGCCGACCCACCGAGGAATAAAAAAAGGGGGGTGCCGCCCTCTCCGGCCAAACAGACGAGGTGAGCGGGGAGGGGGGAATATGGCCTGGTTTAGAAATTGAGACGAAAACCCATGTTGCCAAGTGGTATAGGCATGTGAAGAGCTCGACCTGGGACTTTGGGCTGTATTAGAAGTGATTTCGGCAGATGGATAGCCCAATGATCTGGCAGCTATAGTCAGACAGAAGTACATTACCACGAGTCGGAGATTATTCCATGTTTCGGACTACAGCCACGACGATCAACCGGTGAGGTTAGGTTGCGGGACGATGTTAGTAAGACGGTAACACACTCGGGAAATGCAGATGGTTGAAAGGACTAAGGCGCATTGATTTTCCTATACACGTCTAACTCGACGTAAGCATGGTTTTCCCACTTGGGTGATTTAGGTAGGTACAATAGACATGCTGAGAGCAACAAGACACTGCGGTGCTTGCAGGCCATGCGGCTCTCTGTCGATGAATTAGGGATCGCGATTGGATCAGAGATGGTGGTGGTAGTGATCATAGTGTCAGGCCCGACAACCGACTTTCGGCATATACTACTATGCTATGCAAGTCGGTAATGAGGTATCAAATCGCATAGACCATCACCAGTGACATCGTTGCTTTCTTTCTTTTCGCTTGAAGTTGAAGTTTCCAATGCCAACTCAGGTGACCATCTAGATGTGTATCAGCATACCTTATGCCTTGTCGGGTGTTATTCTATACGACCATAAGCGCATGCAGTCGGACCGGATCTAGACCAAGGCGACAAGATCTGGCAGCGAAGACCAGGCGTTTGGAACTTTGGCCGTGGTAATGACGATATGGGCCATAGACATAATGGAGCTTTGAAAAACTGCCGAATCCAAATGACGACGAGTGGCTCCTGGATGTCATCCTAATTAAGCCTTGGACAGGTTCTGCGGAGTGGGGGGGGGGGNGGGGGGGTCCATAATTAGATGGGAGTGAGAATTTCGGCAGATGAAGTTTGTTAATTCTTCGTTTTGAGAACGACCAAGTTTACTAACATTGAACCTAGCGTCATAAGCGACCACGTGCGAGCGTCACAGATAAATCAATTGGTTTGTATACCAAATAAAATACGCCGATAAAAAGGTGCCTTCCTAATGTATTGTAGCACAGATTGTGCATTCCGCTATCTCCGATTCATCGGATATCTTCTTGCTTGCTCTTCCCTTCTTACTCTTGTTCCTTCACTTCCCCCCTTTTCTTCCCCCTTTCCTCGTAGCTTAAAATCAATCAGTCAATAAATTTATTCATTGCCTTCGTAATCAAGCTGCGTCAACAACTTTTTACTTTTAACAACCAACTACTATTACAACGTTGGCAATCCAAGATCTCCTATACTCAGGTTAGCTTGCAACACTGTGCCGTCCCGTTTTCCATTCACGCGCATCCTGCTGTACCACCCACCGGATGCATCTCTCATTATTCCGCATTTTCCCAGCCCGTCCCAGCATATAAGCTAACGGTCCGTATGCACGCTCGGATCCCTCATAACTCTTGTTCCTGGAGAGCATGTCATCGATGGGCATTCTAGAGCTGTCGGTAGTATATTGATTCTGCCCTTCAGTATTAATAATAAGCGCAATCCCACGCGAGAAGACGCCGGTTGGCCAGCCATCTTCACTTCCCCAGTCCAACTCGATTCACCCGGTCTTAGGGTGTACATGAAGCGCGAGTCGCAAGTATGAGTCTATTTTCTAGCTTCAGGGCATATGGTCGTGACTGATGGGTCGCCTATTGGATTCTTTTCCAGAGGCAATCAAGTCTCTATTTGCCGTGCCGTTTACATGGTATATGAGAAGGACGTAGCTACATCGTGCTTTTAATATGCTCAAATCCCCTATATTTACACGACCCCTATTATCCAACTCTATGCAGAAGAAGGCAAAGAACAGGTCCCCTTGCACTCCGTCATAGTAGGCGTAACAAGCACCGGCGTCTGTGCCGCACCCAACCCATAAACACAAGTATTCTTCTTCTCATCCCCATCCTCGCAGACAGCCTCGTCCAGATTGATCCCAACCTCAAAATGGCCCGTTCCTTTGTAGACCTTGTACCAGACGCTATTCCAGCGCGTGACGTTATAATCCAGCGAGAACTTGGCGTCGAAGCTGCGCGGGTCAAACCCGGGGGCGACGTCGACCGTCCACACGCCGTACGAGAACTCGGTGGTCTCGATGCACGCCTCGCTGCTCCCCGCCAAGCTGCAGTTCGCCGCGCTCGGGTTGAAGGGCAGGTACCCGCCGCCCGCGGCAAAAGGCGCCGGTCCCGCTGACACCGTGTTCGGGTTCCGGATCGCTAGGCTGATGGTGGTGGCATCGCTTGTTGTCGCGGTTGTTGTCACTTGCAGGCTGCTGACTTGCCACGGGTCTAAGGGACCGATGAATGGCGTTGCGTCGTAGGAGTGTGCGAGGTTGGTCACGCTGAGGAGGATCGTGACCAAGTAGGTCGTGAGATGTTTAGGGAGGAACTGCATGGTGCGTCGAAGCTGTGGTGTTCCTTCGGTGTAAGACTTGTAATTATTGAATCCCTTGTGCTGTGAAATGCGTTGATTTATCTATAAGTCAAGAGACTATGTGTCTAGGGTAGGACACCAAAATGGCATGCAAGCTCCCACAGCGTATAGCGTTCTTAAATACAGCACCTCCCGCCGTAGCGGTGCCAAATCCAGAGACGCAGTTATTTCAGCCCATCATCGCGCCACCAAGCTACATACGTTAACCCACAAGGTTGGGTAGCACCAAGTAAAAACAGAGTTTTTTGGTCTTCCTTCCCGATTCCTTGGGTTGTGAATACGAAGCTTTCACCAATGCAAGGGCCCGGAAGTTAGGCAGGTTAGATACACCGCAGCTGGGTCTCGGGTCCGGCCCCGGCTAAATGCAAGCCGCAATCCTATAGCAAACACCGCTTGCCCTGAACCAGCATCCGTTAGCTGTGTTTATCGAGCGGGATGCATCTATAACTCCGTTGTCACCTTTCCCACTTCTTCGTGTTCCTTTTGGCTTACGAGTCCTGCATAATATTGAGACAACGCCGTCCAGAGAAAGCCAGAAGATACGTTACAGCTCCTATAACTCCCTTCGTTTCTACTACGTACCCACGTGGCTCCAGCTGTCCAGATATTATTGAGTAGAAAAATATGTAAGTCCGAATTGACGATAGTCGAACGCAAGCTAGGGCGCTTTACCTTCCACTAAGCAGGTGGTCGAGCCCTAACATCAGCGCTATACTCAAGCCCCATCTCACTACATCTCACCACACCGAAAAGCTCAATACGCCTTGGTAAAAACAGATAAAAATTTAGCAAAAGGAAATCCCTCGGACCGGAATCGAACCGGTGACTTTTCGGTAAACAATAATCATTCTTCAATTACAGCCGAACGCCATAACCAACTAGACTACCAAAGGGTTTCTGATTTCCGCGTCTTCTGTTATAAGATCCGCCGTCTAGTTTGCCATAAGTAGATGGGACCGTGAGGGCTTACATGACGCGCGAGTGGAGATGGGATGGAAGAATGTTTATTACTGATAGTGATAGCGGCCATCGTATCGTGAACGACAAATAAAAAGACATGTCCTAAGTGGAAGCGGTGCCGTTCAGTACACTATCGATGAGTTCCACGTCCTTGAGCAGTTGCTTATCCCCCAGTCTCGGTCCGACGATTTGCAAAGCTACAGGCGCTCCCTTGAACAGCTCGGGGTCATCTGGAGTCGACATGTTAGCTTGCTTCCAATACTAGATGCATCCTATCAAGGCAACATGCACTTATCCTGATTCTCCTTGTCGGCCTCGTGTCGAGGCTTGAAGTCGGTATCCACGGGGTCGAGAACTGGATCGGCGTGAGTAAACGGCACGATGATAGCAGGATACTAAGGGCGCATGTCAGTCAGCGGCTCACATCAGAAACTCCTTGCTTCTTCGCGGATGGAATGGATATATTTCTTACATCAACAACGTTCCAAGCCACAGTATAGATATCACTCGTCCAATCGCCAGGCAAAACCGCCGTGTGCGGCCCAGCCGGCGTTAGGACCACATCGCAACCAACTCTCTTCCACTCGTCCAACATCTGTTTCTGGATATGTCCTTTCTTCGTGTTCCACTGCCACGCCTCCTCCTGGGTCTTGGGCGGGATATCCCAGAACCCGATTTTGTCGACGCTGGGGACTACCGGCTCGCCCGACTTGGCGAATTCTTGCTTTGCATACGATAACCCGTCGAGCGTGAACAGCTGCTCCGAGATATCGCGGATGCCGATGAAATCCGGCGGATTGAACTCGCGGATCTCGAGCCCGGCGGCCGTTAGTTTGGCCACAGCCTCTCGCATGGCCCGGCGCACGGGTGGATGGGGTGTCAGTCCGGAGGCGTATATAACACCGACGACAGGCTTTCGAGCAACGGGACTGAACTCCATGATCTTGGGAATCACCGCAGGGTCTATGTCCCAAGGGTTCACGTTCCTGACAACCTTAGTGAAAAGGTCTAGATCACGCACCGAATGCCCCAGGGGTCCTGTGACGGCTGGGATTCCTGTGTTGGAACCCGTCCAGCCCGAGTAGGAGTACCCGATCATAGGAATGACCCCAAAACTTGGCTTGTAGCCGTACACACCATTGCAAGCTGCTGGTATTCGGATCGAGCCGCCGACGTCCGTTCCGACACCGAGAGCGCTGCATCGGAAGGCCTGGCTCGCGCCCTCGCCGCCACTACTTCCGCCACAAGTCAAGCGGGAATTTACGGGGTTCTTGGTGCGCCCGAATACATTATTGTGAGCTTCGGCAACCAACATGGTCTGGGGCACATTTGTTTTCGAAATAATGACGGCCCCAGCAGCCTGTAGGAGCTCCGGAAGCGGTGACGTGTGGTCAGCCGGTTGGAATACGCGGGAGAGGTATCCGTTGGTCGAGTCGTACCCCTTGAAGTGGAAGCACTCCTTCCACGTCAGGGGCACGCCGTGCAGCGGACCAACGACCTTCCCGGTGCTTTTAAAAACCTCGTCGAGTTCCTTGGCCCTCGCTATCGCATCCGCGAACATAATTTCCGTAAGCATATTACCCAGCTGCTGTCCAACCGCAGCGCGTTTGCAGAACGCAGTGACAACCTCCAAGGCTGTAAACTTGCCATCTGCGATGGCGGCGGCCAGCGAGGTCGCATCGTATTCCTCGCCAGTTATTGCTAGCTCGGCCGGGGAGAGAATCTTACAAGAATTCACAAAAGGTCGAAGATCGACTGTATCATCCGGCGGGATGTCTTCTGGATTCAGCTTCCATTCTTTAGGTATCCTTGAGTCTTGCTCTGCCTTCTTCGCTGCCACCAGCTCTTGCCAGGACTTCCTGGGAACTGAATCTTGGTCAATGCCCATTTTTGAGTACCAAGAACTGTGGCAGATAGCTATCTGATCATCTGATAATAAGTGTGAGGATGGGAATATGTCCAATATAGGTGTTGCCCCTCATGATGACATGCAATGCGACGTTTCCCAAAGCTTGCCTGTCCGTATCTAATAGGAGGCGGGGTATGAATCCATGGTGCTATCCGAAGAGTTGGAGATGGGGAGACCTTACAAGGGGAAGTATCCCTCCTATCATTCGTAGAAAAGTCCCAAGACTTGAAGGTTGGAGTTCTATATCTCCTAGATCCACTATATGCTTGATTATCAGATAATCTACCCCAACATCTCCTTTCCCAACCTGTTTTCATCCCCTACCTTATCGTTGCATCCTGCAAGGAATCGGATAACGCCTATCTGGTGCTTACCAGATATCCTGATGTGTCCTACCTCGACCAAGCTGAAAGCCTAGAATCTCTTTGTTTAGCTGCTAATCGATTTGATAAATGGTTGTATGGCATGTAGGATTGAGTTCTAGGTCAGTTCGGTGAGTGATCGCTCTGATAGTATCCCTGTTCCCTAGCTATCGCTTCGAATACTATGGTACGACACCTCGATGCAACTGCATCCACGTGTAATTGATAGCGCAGAGGAGCGACGTCACGCCTGCACGTTGGCAAATATGGCAAGGATCTTATCATAGCTATTACATAGATATTTGAACAGGTCGCGATTATCTCAGGACTAGGTAGTGTTTGGATAGAGAGGGGTAGCATTTAACATAGTCTTTACTTATCCTCAAGAATTATCTGCTTCTCCTAAGACTCACCTTAAACGTAACCGCGAAAATGTCCGAGAAGAAAGGAGATACCATCGCAGAGAACTCACTTGATACTGAACATGGAATCACCCATGTATTATCAAAGCAAAACGCATTCCAGCGCATTATCCACCGTCGCAATGACCTCAATGAACTGGGCAAGGACATGTTGCAGCAGTCGTTGCAGTATGACCGAGCTCAACTTGAAAGAGATGCCATCAAAGTTCGATGGAAACTAGATCTTCTGGTGCTTCCGATGGTAGGTTGTTAGGACCAACACCCCTCGATCTGCAGGATTGTTACTGATATGTTTCTTGAAGATGATGACCACATACATGTTATCTTTTCTTGACAAGCAGACGTAAGATTGATCCTGTCAAATTCATCGTACACCATTATCTAACTGTTCGATTGTTTATAGGCTTAATTACTCGAACGCATACGGATTACAACAGGATACACACATGACCGGTGACAACTACTCTTGGGTAGCTTCGGCCTTGTACTTTGGCTGGTTATGTAGGTGATTCTTTTTTGAATCTCGACATGCGGAATACATCAGATGCTAACACTGATGACGAAGGCGGAGCATGGCCATGGAATTTGCTATTGCAACGCGTTGCCATTGGGAAATTGGTCGGCGGCATGTTGTTCGTCTGGGGAGCTCTTTGCATGCTGCAAGCCACCGTGTTTAATTTCGGCGGTTTCTTTGCTATTCGGTTCTTTTTGGGCATGCTTGAAGCTTGCATCTCGCCGGCATGGGTGTTGCTGACATCGATGCTATGGACTCGTCGGGAACAGACTTTACGCAGCTCCATTTGGTTGTGCACGAACGGCGTATCGAACATTCTGGGAGCCCTCTTAGCCTACGCTTCCGGCGTTGCTGAAGGTCTGACAATTGCTCAGTGGAAGTTGATCTTCTTGGTAAGATTTCCTCTCTGGCGCTTGCGATATAAACTAATACGGTCATTGATAGATCGTCGGCGCTCTTACTTTCGTTTGGGGCTTCGTCATCTTGCTTTATCTTCCAGATGGACCGCACAATGCGAATATGCTAACCGAATACGAACGCGTTGTCGCTGTCTGGCGCGTTTCGGAGAACCAGATTGGTCTCAAGGATGCGACAATAAGGCCTTACCAAATCAAAGAGGCGCTTCTGGACGGAAAATGTTACTTGATGTGGACGAGTGGAATGGCGCTCGGAATTCTCAACGGCGCCGTGACGAATTTCATGTCGGCCATCATTAAGGGGTTCAATTTTGACGCGCTCCGAGCATCTCTATTACAAGCTCCAGGAGGCGGATTTGAAGTTGTTTTTTGTCTTTTCTTCGGGTGGCTCTCGCAACTCCCGAATATGGTGGGCGTATCTGTCATCGTTGGATGCTTGCCTGGGATAGCTGGTCTCGTGGGCATTCTCAAGATTGATATCGAACATCGCTATGCTCTTGTCGCCATGTGCTGGCTACAAAACGTACTTGGTTCGCCTGTCGTTTTGAGTTGGACGATTCCAGGTCTTAACGTAGCGGGTCACACCAAAAGAAGTACCGTCATTGGTATTTATTTTGTCACTTATGTGGTTGGAAAGTAAGTTGAGCTTCAGACATGTCGGTATGATAGCTACTAACGATAATCGCAGTATCATCGGCCCTCATCTGTTCCTGTCCAAGGAGGTACCAAGGTATCCGACTGCTATTAAGGGACTTTTGGGTACATACTGTGCTGTAGTCGTGTTTCAAGGGTTGTATATTCTGTGGTGCTGGCTCGATAATAGAGAGCGAGATCGGTTGGGCCAACATGCTGAAGTGGAAGAAGAGCTGATGGAGGGCTTTGAAGATTTGACAGACAAGCAGAATAAGCACTTCCGATATAGACTCTAATTATCTAGAACTTAGTATATATGTATCTTTGTCAGTAAGGGGATGAGTACTAAACCATTAATATACTGTTGCTACTACTGTAAAGGTTGATACCCGCGAATGTAAATGAACATCCAACAATCCTTTTCTTTAAAGCATTGAACTTTAGAACCTGCCCCCTAAACGCCCTATGAAACGGGCAGTGAAATAATACATAGGCGCCTAGCAATTGCCAGAGGTACACACCGCCCAGTACCACCCCGCGCTGCGCCCCCGAGCTACAAAACTCCGGAATTCGAGCTTCGAGTTCAAAGCTGCTCCTCTTCTCTCGTCTTTCATGATATGGCGTAAAGCCAGCGTTACACCGAGCAGACTCTGATAATACCTTTGGCTTTTCGGTGC